AAATTCAATGTGGAATGGATCCTTCTTAAGGGTTTTAACATAAAACTCTCATCTGCAAGAATAAATTTTTAAATTATAAAATACAAATGAATAAAAATTTATTTTAAAAAACTTTTTAAATGTACACATAAATTAAAATTACTAAATATATACTTTATTAACATATTTCATAAAAATAAAAATAATGGAAAATTTTAGAATAACCCTAAATAAATATAAATTTTTAAATAACACCTCATAAGATAGGAAAATTTCTGATTCATCCCTCATCAAATAAAAGAGAAAATTCTGATTCCCCATATAATGCTTTAAATTTTAAATTATACATAATTTCAAGAATTAAAAAAGTATTTATACGTACTCTTTGAATCGTATCTATTTGATTAATTTTGTCAGATTAAGAAAAAAAAATATTTTACCAGATTAAGGAAAAAAACATTTGCCGGGATTCGAACCCAAGTCAAATAATCCATCTAGATTTGTAAGCGAAGTTCTTGCACGATTGGGCCACAGGCACTTTTCAAAATTAACGATTTTTTGAATATATATTATAAAGTGGGACATGAAAAGTGGGACATGAAAAGTGGGACATGAAAAGTGGGACATGAAAAGTGGGACATGAAAAGTGGGACATGAGAAGTGTGACATGAGAGCGTAACGCTATTTTTGTGACAAGGCTTTTATATATATTATAGATAACTCCCGAAAGGTCTATAATTCGAAAAGCTGCTGATACGAAAGGCTAAAAAATATTGAAAATAAAAAATAACAAAGAAAATGTTTAATGAGAATTTTGATTGATTTATTGCTTTCTTTACGAGAAAAATATTATTATAACATTATATTATATAGGCCTAAAACGAATTATTTATTATTTGATATTCGAATAGATTCGATTCGATTCGTATTTTACGAATACGAATAACACAATTATTCGATTCGAAATTTCGAATCGAATATGAATAATGAGGAAAATTATTCGTATTATTCGAAATTATTTATATATAAATATTCGTAATTATTCGCAAATATTTTATTGCAAGTAAAATAAAAAGAAGTAATTAAATTTTCCTAGTGGATATCATTTCGTTTTATTTTATTTCCTATTATCAAATATCAAATCATAACAAGTTATATTTGCTGAAAAAGTTTAATGGAAGAAAAGGAAAAGCTTCAAAGTAAAATATAATTATTTTATTTTGATTGTTTCTCTTTAATCATTTTTGATGTTATGAACAAGTCAAAACATTTTTAAAGAGTGTGCCTCTTTCCCATATTCTCGAGCTCCTGGCAGATAAATAACTAAATTTTTTTTGACTAGTTCTTATTATTTGATTAGGAAAATCCTTTTCCCATTTAGTAACCTTTTTTTGGCAAATTTTAAAGACAATCTAATTCGTGCATTATAATATCTTCATCCTCTATCACATTGTCATAATCACCTCTAAAAATTATATTAATAATTAAATAAAGGAAATTTATGCTACTAAAGTATTTTTAATAAATAAAATCTATAATGAAATACTTTCTAAAATTTTGTTATATTTTATATGCAAAAATGACAATTAGTTTAGAGAATCCTTAAAAGTGTCATCTTTAAACATCTGTAAAAATTTTTTTGCAAAATATTTTATAAGCTTTAGAAAAATTTTCGAATCGAATATTCGACGAATCGAAACGAATAATGATTTTATTATTCGTACGAATACGAAGAGCGCAATTATTCGATTCGATTCGTTTTTTTGTAGGCCTAATTATAATATATTAAAAAATTGGTAAGATCTTTTCAATTTTTTATTAATTCTTTTGTAATAATTTGCGGTTTAAATTTAATTTAATTATATTAATTTTGAAATTAAATTTTTGATTAAATTATATTTCGTTATGAATACAATTTTTAAAAAATGGAATTTTTGAATTTTTATTTCAAAACTAAATTGATAGTAAGTATAAAGATATTGTAAGCACTATAAATTAAATGGTAAATTTTTTTTAAAAAATATTTTTTTTGTCGCGAAAACATTCAGAGGGAAAAGGCTAACATTTTAAGCGTAATTTTAAGTATTTTTATATCATTGAACTCAGAATTAAATTTTCTATCCAAATATGCTTAGATATATTTTTTACGTTTTCGGTTCGAAAAATTTATTTTTGTCGCGATAACATTTAAAGGGAAAAGGCTAACTTATTAAACGTAATTTTAAGTATTTTTATATCATTAAACTCAGAATTAAATTCTCTATCCAAAAATGATTGGATGAATTTTTTGGATTGTGATTTTAATTCTCAGTTTATTGATATAAAAATACTTAAAATTACCCTCCTGGGTGATACAGTGTATTTTTTAAATGTTGTACGTTTTTGTTTTTACACCATTTAATAAATTCATTTGAAATAAATTGTGGACCTGTCGGTTATAGTAACTCATTTTTCTAATCTATTTATTAAATTCTTACTTGAATCTTTAATTCTATCGATATCGATCCATTATAAGTATGCATCAATTCCTACCAGAATCAGTTTGGGTCGATTTTTCGCCCAAAAATTGGCTCAGTTTTTGACTAAGTCCATTAACAACATTAACTATACACAATACTTTATAGAATCAAAAGGCCGATAGTATTTACAATGCAGTAGAACATAAACAATGAAGGAATCAATATTCGTGGGTTTGACACAGATTCAGACGTAATATATTTCGATTGTATAAAATTTTAACAATTTTAAAAATATATAATTTAATATAATCTTTTTGTATAATAACAATGAATCAATTTTTATAGATAAAATATATTTTTTATGTATAAATAATATATAGATAGAGCCTTTGACTAGCCAAGATGCTATTATAAGTGACTTATCACATTGATATATCTACATCTAGTAAGTTAAATATTTCGAATGTATTCAAGATGACTCTGACAAAATCTTGCCGGAAGTGTATATAATGCAATGCACATTATAGTTTAAATACAGCCTCAAGTACGTATTATTAAAATTTAATATACGATTATAATATATTTTTAGCAAATTTAAAAAGTCATATTTCTAAATCACATTTTCATTTAAGAATGGAAAATAAAAACAAAAAAACACATTCATTAGTAGGGATAAGAAAATTAGTCCCTCATTAAAACACTCAATTAAATAAATTGATTATGAGATATATTATAAAATGTAACATCTCATTTAACAAAATAGAATCTACATATTTCAGAGATATTTTCTCATTTATATTTAAAAATGAGAAGATATGGTGCAGGCAAACGGCGGCCTGCTATGTTAAAGATTTATATCAGAAATCTAAAAATAAAATTATTAAAGACCTTAAACAGGTCAATAGTAAAATCTGCCTTACAACGGACATATGGACAGGAATAAACTCCATATCTTATTGTTCTATAACAATTCATTATATTGACAAAGATTTGTCAATTTCCTACTTGATCTAATAGATTTACATCATCCACATACGGCTGAGGAAATATCAAATATTCTTTTATCCTCTCTCCAATCTTTTGGGATACAAGAAAAAAAAATGTCCATTACAATCGATAATGCAAAAAATTTCCTCTCATCTGTGTCTATTATATTATTTTATATGGATAAATACGGTTATTGTCTATATAGTATTAGATGTCTCGCTCATATATTAAATATAATAGTGGGCTCAGGAATGAATGTTTTGAATGAAAAATTGGAAAAATTAAATAAATTTGTTAAAAAGTAACATAATTCCCCTAAATTTATGAAGGTATAAATGGAATTATCAGGTGGGACTCGTATACCACTAGATGTCATCACAAGATGGAACTCCAAATTCTTACAAAGTAATAACAAACACCATTTTTTAAATTTTATATTTAAAGAATATTGATGTGTTAAATAGTTTAGGCAAGAAGGGCAGCCTTCCTGATAATCAAATTATTATAATAATGAAGAGGCCAAATATTTAAAAGATATTGAAATAATTTTGAAACCATTCTACAATATTACCCAAGAAATATCCTCAGATACAAATTCTACAATTGGGTCGGCAGTTTTATTTATAGATGAAATTGTCAAACACGTTAGTGAAAATTATGAAAACGAAATATTAAAAAATGCAGCTAGTGTTATGTTTAAAAAATCAAAGATATATATGAAACACATGAATAATCTTTCAAACTATATATCGTGTTTGTTAGACCCAAAGACAAAGAAAAAATTTTTGCCTAAATTTATAAATAATCCTGATTATTTTAAAAATTTCGAAACTTTATATATGAAATATAAAAGTACAATGTCAGGATCGTCAGCGTACGATTACAATGAGTCCGATATGGAAGCCATGCCTTATTCTGTGCGTATACATAATAAACTAAGAAGGTAAATATGATTACATAGTTATTGAAAAGAATAACGATTATGGTGAGAGTAAGTTAAAAAATATTTTATTATTATTTTATCTCTTTTCAATCTACTATTTATATATTTTTTACAAACTAAAATTAGAATATAATATTAAAAAGGTTAACATATAAAATAAAATTGTAACTAAAATAAAAATATAATTTGAATAAATATAAGTTGAATTTGAATTCATAACATTCTCCTTCTTCTAAAAAGCCTTCACATAAGTTTAATTATGTTATCATAGTTAGTTTGTTCATCAAGTTGTTTCATAAGTCATTGTAATCGTTGGCTTGTCCCAATCGTTGGTTTGTTTAAATCGCAAGCTTGATATCCTTATCGTAAGTTGTCTTTATAAATCATGACTTTGTCATATAGCTTGCTTGTCATACTCAGTTGTTATTATCATTTTTCAAAATTGTTATTATCATCAGTGAGTTGCGAATAATGAGAAATAATAATTCATCAAATTGGATATAAGAATAAACGAAGAATGATAAATCAATAAGATTGTTATATAATATTTTCAGCGTTTTAATTTTTTGCGTTTTAGTGTAAGCGTTTTAATATTTAATTTACTTTACGCATTTTAATATTGATTTTATATTTTAAGTTACGTAGTCTTTTAAATAAACAGGTTTTTGTTTAATTCGCACAGGTCTAGAAATAGGTGTTATATCGTTATTATCAGTAATTTTTATATTTTTGTCCCCACTTCCCTCCTTAAAAGAATCCTTAGAGTCATAATTAATAAGTGTGTTAAAACAGTTTCTAATTCTTATTTGATCTAAATGTCTCCTCAAAATACCTTTCTCTATCTTAATTTGGAACATCATGTCACTTTCTTTATGTGTGATCATATCTTTGCACCATTTATCATCACCTTGTACTTTGTACCAAACAAAATCTCCTATGTTAAAGGTTCTATTTCGTGGTAAAGTAACGTTTATTTTATTCTCTTTCTCCTCCAACGGTTTTAATAAGTCCCATTTAATTCTAATATCTCGATTAAACATTCTCTGAGATGGTGTAACTCCTGTAGTATCATTACGCGTATTTCTGTAATTAAATAAAAATTTGCCAAGTGCGATATCTAGGTCAATTTTAATATTCCTTTTCATATGTGTTTTGAAAGTTTTCACCATGCGTTCTACCTGGCCATTGTTCTAGTGATAAGCAGATGTAAGCACATGTTTGATACCAAAATTGTTGCAAAATTTTTCAAAATCGTTGCTCGTAAAGTTAGTGCCGTTATCAGTAACTATAGTTTCAGGTATATATCGAAATAGTTTTAAAAATTTCTTTTAAAGTAACATCAGTCGTAATATTTTTAACAGGAATAATAATTGGAAATTTGCTGTAGGCATCGACTATTATCAACCAATTTTTTGTGAAAAACGGACCCGCATAATCTATGTGTATCCTTTCAAACGGTTTGGTTGCCGAAACCCATGGTTTTTGTATCTTTATAGGATTATCATGATATATGTTACAATCGTCACAACTTTTCACTTCCATTACTATGTCATTGTTTATACCAGGCCACCACATGTAATCTTTGGCTAAGGATTTGATTTTTCCTGCTCCCAAGTGACCTTCATGTAATGACTGTAGTATATTTTTTCTCATAGAAGACGGAATTATGATTCTGTTGCTTTTGTAAAGACAATCCTAATTATACTTAATTCCAATTCAATGTTTTTATAAATATTATTCATTATAGGCCTGTTGTTTTTAATATCATTTATGACTTGTTTTAATTCCATATCTTTCAAAGTTTCATCACGAATTTGATTAAAATTAATAGGTAAATCCCCATATTCATTTATTATAGTGATATTTTCAATAGTTTCTTCATGACATTCTTGTGGTAATCTCGAGAGGCAATCAGGAACAACATTATATTTACCGGCTTTATACTTTATATTAAAATCATATCCTCCTAATGTAATATTTCACTTCTGGAGTCTTAAGGACATGGTGCTATTATCCTTAAGACCCTTGGTAAAGATGTAAACTAGAGGTTTATGGTCAGTAATAATTGTAAATTTTGTGCCGATTAAGTATTCCTGGAACCTCCTTATAGCGAACATAATAGCGAGAGCCTCACGCTCAATATTGGTAAAATTCACATTTCGGATTTTAATAAAGTTCTTGAAGTAAAAGCTATAGGTTTTTCTTTACCATCTTTTTCAGTATGAAATAGTACAGCTCCTAAACCACATTTCGATGCATCAGTGGCTATCCCTATAGGCAGTGGCGTAGCTAGGAATTTTCCTTAGAGGGGGTCCATACATATAAAAGCCTGGGGAGCTTCGCCCCCCAGACCCCCTTTAACGGGCCTTCGGCCGGGTTTATCTTACAAATCATAACTATATTTTCGATAATATATAATAAATAAATATTTTAAATGCATCAATAATATGTTATTATAATTTAGTAGGTTATTCTCAATGACTTTATAATAATACTATCCAGAATAATTTCAATAGTAATATAATATCCTTCCACAAACATCAAAACCAGAAAAATATAAATATTAATGGTATTTATTTGATATAAAGTCACTTTTAAACGTATAATCTAAAAAAAAAATTTTGCTCTGGGAGGGGTCCAAACCCGAAAACCACCCCCGTAGCTACGCCACTGCCTATAGGTAATTCAGGGTTAAAATATGTCAAATCAGGTGGAAGACTAATCAACTTCTTAAGATCATTAAAACATTTAGAGTGTTCTAGGTTCCAAGCCCATTTTTCTTTGTTGACAATCTTATATAGAGGATCGGCAATCTCTGCAAAATTGTTCAAAAATTTTCTATAGTAGCCAGCCATTCCCAGAAATGTTGATAATTCAGCAGCTGATTTTGGTTCTGGCATATTAATTATTGCTTTAATTTTGTCGTGATTAGCATGAATCCCCTTGGCGTCAATATCATGACCCAGGAACCTCACTTTGTTTTTAAAGAACACACTTTTATTGAAGTTAGGTATTAGCCCAAACGATGATATTCTATCAAAACTTTTTTTATGTTGTTAAGCTGGGCTTCATCGTTTTTTCCAGTTATAAGTAAATCATCAATATAAAATATGACGTCATCGGATTCACACTCTTTAATCAATTTTTTTATTTCATCTTCGAAATTAGTGTCAACATTTGCTATAAATTTATTTAAAATATTTTTGAAAGCATTAATCCATGTACGTCCAACAAGGCATTTTTTCTTGATTCAACGACTACCGCTTGTAAATATTTTGAGATACCTTCATAAGTCACTTTAACTTGAGTGATGCCGATGATCTTGATTAAATTTTCGTCATAAGCGGTAAGTTGCAACTCGGATTTCTTAACATCTCTAATACTAAGTTAGCCAGACCATGAGGTATAATAGTATGTTTTGAGCCTGTATCGACTTGCATACATGTAACAATATCGTTCACTTTTAAAGTAGTCATAAATGTATTATCTTTGTCATTGAGCATGTCACCAGATAAGTTGTTAACATTGAAATCGTTATCATCTTTGTTCTTTATAGAGTCAACTTTCTCTTCAATAATTTCTTCAATATTCATATTGTAATCATTGTTGTTGTATTGTATTTGCTTTCTATTATAGTTGTCGCTACCTCTATAATTATTTGAGTTGTTGTTATATTGTATTTGCTTTCTCTGATTATTGTCACTACCTCTATAATTATTTGAATTGTTGTAATAAGATTGGTAATTGTTACGATTTCCGTTACCGTATTGGATCTGTTTTCTTTGATTATTATCATGCCATGTATTATTTCTACCATAATTAGATTGATTATTATTGTTGTAGCGATAGTTATTGTAGTTATAGTTGTTATAATAATCGTGGTATCTCGAATTATTATTACCGTAATTCCTATCATTGTATCTAAAATTAGTGTTGTAATTCCTATCTCTATTTCTATTATCATAATTATTTCTAAAATTATTATCAGGTCTAAAATAATTGTTATTGTCATTTCTATTACTATTGTTAAAGTTTTTATCTTTATCAGAATTTTTATCGTTATTCATATAACTTATATTATCAACATTTGATTTATCATTGATACTATCTAATTTAATTCATAGCTCAACCATTTCATTTAAGGTTAAATTAATATTTTTACAAAATTTATATTTTATTTTGTCATTTAGGCTAAAAATGTGGCATCAATTAGAAGTCTGCAATGAGCGCCCGCCCATCCAATATTTTAAAAAATTTATCGCCTGCCCATAGTTTTTAAAAAAATATACCCGCCAGCCCGCCCATGAGTCTAAAATTCTTTATCCGCCTGCCCATTAGTCTAAAAATTTTTACCGTCCGCCCATTATATAAAAATTTTTTAACCCATGCCGCCCATAAAATTTAAATAAGCTTATTCTTTCAATTTTTTTAAAATCTAATTAAAAAATGATTCAGTTTCAGCGCTACACCACTATAAAAAAGTTTTATAATTTAGGAAATTGCTATATTAAGCAAAAAAAATATTCAATTTAAATTACGGATAAGGAATTTATTTGATTTAATAAAATATTTATGTAAAAAATATAAAATTAATATTATTTCTAATTATAATGCAAAAATAATAATGAATCCACATTTTCTGGATTCACTCATGTTCCTTTTTGTTCTATAAACCTTCCAGCAATGTTAATTCTTCGTTATGAAGAAGCACTGGTTAATCTTGATATCTTCGATAAATTTTTTCTTGTCGTTTCCAACAAAGTAGGATATCCGTTTGAAGTATATCCTCTACTTAAATGATATATTTAAATAAAAAGTGAAACAATTAATAATAAATTTAAAAAAAGTATTTAAATTAATTGTTTATAAATGGTAAACTTAAGCTAAACTCAGTAGCCTAAAATCTTGCTAAATTATACAAAAACTCTCTATTTAAGATTTAAATATTTTGTTGTCATTAGGTAAATTACTCTCTTCTGTAACAGCCACATCTTCCCATCTGTTGATGCTTTGACGTGAATAGTATCTATTTCAAAATTGCATTTATAATTTAATTTAATTTTCTTTGCTTTTAGAGAAACGGGTATAAAATACAATTTTCATCCACGTTGATGTTATATTCTTCCATGCAAATACATGTTTTCGATATTAACATATCCTCAGATATCGATTGGTATTAAAAATGTTGAAATTTCATGGAGCATTTTTTTTAATATTTACATAAATGATTTTAAATAACAAATAAAAGTTGTAAATTTTTCAACGCGCCTACCCATAGTTTAAATATTTTTTCAACCCGCCCGTTCTTTAAAAAAATTTAACCCGTTCGCCAAAAAATCCTCCATTGCAGACCTCTAGCATCAATGACTTCTGATATATGTACATAAACTGCTCATTCCTTATTTAAAATGAGAGAAAAACCTTCCATCTTTGACTGATCAAGAGTTAAGCGTGTTATATTCAGGCTATGACCCTCGTTTTAAAAGACGGGTTCAGGGTTTTGGAGTTGAGAAAAATAAGGATTTATAAACTTTACTATAATTAATAGAAACGTGAGTTATTTTAAAATTTATTTCAAGTATTCACCCTAAAAATTAGAATACAATACAAGAACTAATATTCTATTTGTTTTTTTTTTAAATTTTGTTAAACATTAAAATGTAGATTTTTTATACCAAACTTTGACAATGCACTTTATAAAGATATTTTACTCTGTGATTTTGTTTCTATCCATTCTAATTATATCTACTACCTTAACTTCCTTCATTAAACTTACCCTATCCTTTTAAAAAAATGCAAAAGCTTTGGCAATTCTCAAAAAGGCTTCTTCATATGGGGCTAGCCATAGTCATTCCTAAACAAAACTACTTAGATTCTGAGGCAATCTTGTTTCCAAGGAGCTTTTCTATAACTTTCTTCTTATTTTCTGTTTTATTCTATATTTCTTCTTTATTTTTTAAATTAACTTTCTTCTGCTAAGTTATTATTATAGCTCTAATTTAATGAATTATATTTGTTTTGTAAATAAAAAAAGGTAAATTAAAAAAAATCAACAAAGCAATAAATATCCTTAAGAAATAAATTATCTATGATAAAAAAATTAACAAAATGAGGTATTAAAATTTTTACATAAAATATATAGGGGCGTCGCTAGCCTTTACAATCTCAGGGGGCTCAATTAAAATTTTTTATGAGGGACTTCGCCCCTCATACCTTAAATTTGCACGCTTTTACCCGGCCTTCGGCCGGGTTTTATATTAATATATTATACTTTTTTTAAATTTGCTAACTCTAAACAATTATTCTGAATTTCATATTTTGTCATTTATTATATTTTGCATACAAAATAAACTAACATATAAATAATTAAAACAATACAAGACATATCTAAGAATAATATTTTTTATTACAAAAATCTATTTATTACAGTATAAAATATTTTCGATGGTTGATATAAAAAAAATTTGCGTCTAAAGAATTACAAGTGATAAAAAAGGTTAATTAATTCATACATATGCCTCAATTGATAATTGTTTTTAAAAACCACATAAGGCTATATATTCTTAGCAACGTACATTGAGAAAAAGTCATGAAACTAATATAACTCTTTGTCATTTTATACATGTTTTATAGAATGGACTAATAAGAAAAAATTTATAGGCCGTACCAAATTAACACTTGAAGAAGAGATATAAACGACCAATCCAAATCATAAAACTATATGGTAGTTAGAGCTTCCTTTGAGATGACATAAAGGAAGCTAGAGAAGTAATCGAGAAAATTATTGTGAGATATTAAATTTCTAAAAGATTATCTTCCATTTTTAATGATATATAAACGACTACACAGTTGACCATTATTGCATATCTAAATATGCAATCATATGCTCTCAGCAGCTCTAGTAATAATCTTAAATTACATACCCACACAAATAATAGATGCTGGTTAATTTACAGTCATAGCCATGACACTCACGATGGTAACCCATATCAGAATTTATTATGTTAGAATTGATGAAACAAAAACACTAAAAATCTTTAGAAGAAATTATGCAAATATATTGAAGTCTTGAGTTATTTACACGGCAAGGATGACATATTAGAAATGAAGCATTTTGTAACTATAAAATAAAAACCAGAGTGATATCATGATGAAAGCAATTAAAATTTTATATATTATTGTCGCACCATCTCTAGTTGGTATATTAAATCTTAAAATAATAGTAGTTTGTAATAATATCTAAAATGTATTCGTATTGAAAATTTAACTCAAAACTGTTTTTCAAAGAAGAAAATAGCTTTCCTAAAAACACGTAAAAAAAGAGAAGAAAAGATATCAAATTTATTACATCCATTGTGGGATGAATAATATGTTTAATTATAATATTTTAAATAAATAGATGTCGTTAAATAGTTGAATGCAAATTCTTACTTATATTTATTATCAAAAGCATTGATTAGTAAAATTTTAAAAATATTAACTGTATAATATTATATAACTTACAAATACGTCTGCAAAAGTGGCATTTTACCTAATATTTTATAAATAATTATATATAATAGAGGATTATAAACTATATGTCTATTTACTTTTTATAAATAAATCTCTTATACTTACTTGGATTTGGACCTTTGAAAATAATTTTAGAAAGAGACATAATTAAATTTAAAAATCAATAATATAGTTGATTAGTGATTTTAAACTCGGCTAACTACAATTAAATTTGTTAATTTTCAATTAATAAATGATTATATTAATTTAATTAGGGTTATATAATAATTTAAATAAAAAAGTTCAATTAAGATTCAACTGTTAATGCTATATTAATATTTAGTGAGTGATATTGGTATATTTTTATCACAGAATTTGATCGCAAGCTGACATAGTGAAAATATAATTTATATGTATTAATCTAATCTAATAATTAAAATAGTATACATTTAATAAAAATTTAGATAGTCTTATTAATTTTTAAATAATAAAATCTATATATTACTCAATAGAATTATAAAAGATATTGCTCAGGGAGCAATTAAAAAAATTTATTTTTAGTTCAAGGCGATATTAAGGAGTCATTAAAAAAAAAAAATTTGCTTCAAAAGGCTATTCAAATTTTTCAGGGGGCTCGAGCCCCTGCTCTCCCCCCTCTAGCGACGCCACTGATAATATAATAAAAATGATTCCAAAAAAAAAATTAATATTGAAAGTAAAAAAAAATTCTTAAATCCTAAATTTTTTTAAAAAATGGGTATATATTCAGTAATATCTGGTCAATTTGGGTTATTAATCCTGTTATATTTATGCTCATGAATTTAACATTGGTATCAATCACCATATCTTTAAAGAAAAATATTTAATAAAAAAAAATAGTGCTTATTATATTAGAAATATTATATATTATGATCTTTATCTTAAAATCATTTGTTTAAATGTGATTAACATCTTTTAATTTACTGACAACAAAATAAATATGAATTATAATTTTTATATTACATTTAGGGTATAAATTTTTTTTATACAGGGTGGCAATAATGTTAATGTAAACATTTTAAAAATTCAGTTTTTAACTTAATAAAATGTTCTGAATAGTAGAAGACCAATATTATAAACCTTTGGGGAAGATTTAGAATTGATAGTGACAGTTTTCTTTATTTCAGAGAAAAAAAGTAAATTTTTTAATCAAAGGTTTTGAACCTGATAAGTCATGAGTGGTAGAATAGTATCATAAAACGTTTGGGAGTAGTTAAAATAGTATAGTAACAAATTGTTTAATAAAGATAGTTTTTCCCACCTTGTTGTCAAAAATTAAATCAAAAAAATTGATTTTTGCAATCCTAATATAAGTACAACTGATTTAAGGCTATATTATAATATAAATGAATTTAAATTATATTTAAAAAATATACAATATATATCCATACTATTTCTTATTTAATAGTATTTTAAAATCAATATATTAATAATTTTTCTTATAATCATATACCTTTTTTTAAGTTAATAATCATAATTTTAATTACATTATCAATTAATAAAAAGTATTTATTCTACATGTAAAATAGTATGTAAAATATAAAAAGAAATATGAAAATTATATATGAGGATAAGTTATTTGCACTATTATCAATATTACATAGATTATGGGAACAACATGAGTAACACATATTTATGCTAGCAATGTTTGAATCAATCTTTATACATTCTGATAAACATTCTTTACTGCATAAGCGTTTAAAATAGGTAACTTTGCCATTCTGTTCAAGTCTTTTTACCTATGTTATTTTGAATTTAAAAATTTAATAAAAAATCTATATTACATTGCAATATTTTTCATTTTCCATACAGAATTTTGAAGGAACTAATGTTTTATCGAAATGGATACAATTTCTATCGTCTTCAAGATTGCAATTGTAACATGTTAGATTACATCTTACTATATCAAAACCTTTTATAAATTTATTTATTTGAAAATACACTAATCAATAATTAAATAACCATAACTTGCCAGTATATATAAGTGAAGCAAAATCTTCTTTACCATGCATATGATCAAAAGAGCAATTGTACTTTTTTGTGGTACATGTTTGATGTTAAAGAATTATTAAAAAATTTTTATTTGAGATCATACGACGCGAAATTTAATTTTTTTTTTCTTTAAGTGGCTTTTTCCCCAGTTTAATGGATTTTATTTTTGAGAGAACAAAGCGTTGCTCTTTATATACTACGAATAGGGCTAGGACTAGGAGCTTAATGTCGCGTCTTAACATGTCATCAAATTTAATTTACGTGATACGTGATATATAGCGCTTATGCCCTCTAGTGTTGAAATGCAACAGAGCTACGCTGGGTTTTCCTCATTTCCATCTTATTGGAACAGTTAAATTTGGGTATAAAATTTAAAATATGAGGAGCCCTCCACACGTTTGTGGGCAAGCCGCACGTACTTGTAGGCGCAACATTTCGAAAAATATTACTTAAACCTCTATAGGCTTATACAAAAGGAAATGGGACAAAAAAAGAGCCTATACCCAATAACTACAGTGAAAGTTAATTACGTTGTGGTGGGTTGAGGACAATTTAACATTAAAAATCTTTACTATATTAAAACAATTTTTAGTAAGGAAATACAAAATATACTTATGAGAGGATTTGAATGTATGATGGTATTAGAAATGTTTGATAATGATGAGTTTAAATTTTTTGAAATTTATTACGATGGTAAATATACGATAGGATTAATGGGTGATGATAATGTAACATAATTTGAGAATGTATTTTTATACTCATTGAAGGTAACTTTTCTTGATGCGAAACAGTTTTTTAATGGATCTTTTATTGTTATTCAGTTTAATGAATTGTTTCATGTTAACGTTTAGATCCATTATATCTTTTATAGTTTTATAGTACCATAATGTTTTGTATTTTGTGTACTGTTTACCTTTATATGAGTACAGCCATGTTATGGCATCGTGGACTAAATTATTATCTGAGTTTCTTATTACGTGGCCTAAGAACTGAATCCGTCTTTTCTTAAGAGTAATATTCACTGGTGTGTGAGTAGACTTCCTCCAAAGATTCGAGTTAGAGATAACTCTTGGATAGAAAATCCCGTGTATCGTACGAAGACAATTATTTATAAAAGATTGAAGCCGTCTAATCTCTGTTTTGTTTGCCTCCCAGATATCTCCACCATATAATGCAATTGGAACAATCAACGAGTTGAATATTCTCAATCTAGTAAACACTGAAATTTCGCTAGCTTTCCATATTTTCATATATCTGTAGAAAGCACCTCTAGCTTTCTGTATTCTCATCTTCATCTCATCTTTACAACTTCCTCTGTTATCTAAGATTACCCCTAAGTATTTTACATTCTCTACTATTTTCACTGTATTCCCTCCAACTGTAAAATCTTGAATTGAAGGCGCGTTTGGGGAGGGAAGAATAACCGTTTTGTTAAAGTTGATCCTAAGTCCAACTCTATAGCTTACTGTCTCAATTAGATAAAGTAGATTTTTGGTCTCTTCAATACTTTTCGAAATCACTACAATATCATCTGCATAGGATATTATCCTATTAACAAAAAAAATCTTCTCATTAGATCTAATGTCTACTAGATCTGCAGCTCCCAATACTTCTTTTATTATTTTATTGATGATTATGTTAAACAGGAGAGGTGAGAGGGTACAGCCTTGTTTTACCCCTTTTTTAATCCTGAAAAAGGGAGAGATTTTATTATTTATTTTGAAACATGCGAATAAATTCGAATAGTGATTTTTTAAGATACGAATTATCTGGGTTTCAATACCACATTCTACAAGCGTTTCCCATAACGCTTCATGATTAACATTATCGAATGCTCTACTGAAATCAATAAATGTGTAAAATGACGGAATCTTATATTTATAACACTTTTGCATTATTATCTTCAGAGATAATATAGGTTCTAGTATATTTTTATTTGGCCTGTAAGCACAAATATATTTAGAAAATAGATTAGGCGTCGAATGAACAATCTTATTCTTTATAAGTACCATAAATATCTTTGACACACAAGATGTTAGAGCACACGCACGATAATCAGTAAATTTTAGAGGGTTTGCAGTTTTGGGAAAATTGCATAAAAGGGACTTGTTCCATTCTGTAGGGGTACTTCCGCTTTCCCATATTTTATTGAATAGGGCTAGTAGGAAAGAAGATGTCGTTCTAGGTGCTATCTTCAGATGTTCCGCCGTAATGTTGTCAAGCCCTGGAGCTTTATTGTTTCGTAATTTCTTTATTACATTCATAATTTCCATTACAGTGAACCCAGACTGTGGTGAAGCCATATTTATATTTACACTAGTTGCTCTAGTTACTTTACGTCCATCGAAAACCGTAATATAGTAATCGAGCCACAGCGCCATCTGTTCATCTTGATCAATTATTATTTTACCATCATTTAATACTATTGAGGGTAACTTCTGAAAACTGTTAGGTTTACAAAAATATTTTAATTTCTTATATGCATCATGTAGTCTATTTTCTCTTACATCTTTATCAATATCAAACGCTTTCTTCGCACTATAAACCCGTCTATCTCTCTGCAGTAATCTTTGTATCATCTTCCAAAGATCCTTATTAGAGCTAAACGCTGTTCTTAACTGGTTTATTTTCTCCAGGGTATCATTCGCCATCCACTCCTTCCTATGGATAAGACTTACATCTGGCAATACTTTGTATGTATCGACTAGGGCATCTTTAAAAAGATTCCAACTTTTCTCAACACTTGCAAGCCTAATAGTATTCAAGTAGCTGGCTTCTTTCCCACTTAATATCTCATCAAAATATCTTGCATCATCTAATGTTCTTATTTTACTCAGTTTGCGAGTTATTACATTACACAAGGGAGTAGCGCTAGATCTAGTAGAAGATTGTCTATTTCCGTTATGATACCCCCATAAATTTTTAACTATAATAATTGCTCTAAGCAGTCTATGATCTGACAAGTTCATATTAGTTAGGGCTTTAACATCCACGAACCAACGATGAATATTCGAGATGAAGAAGTCAATTTGTGATTGCTGCTGAGCTCTTACAAAGGTATACGTATTCCTATCACCATGACTAAAAAAAGTGTTTTCAATTTTGAAACCTTTATTACAACAGAAGTCAAGTAATTTCTTACTGTATTCGCTATTACTCTGTACTAAGGTAGCGTGCCCAGTGACATTTCTATTCATATATTCCACTTCTCTGCCTATATCCATATTTAGATCTCCCAATATTATGATGTTATATCTCTCTGGTAAGGAGTGTATTATGTTAATCATTATATCTACAAAGGCTAATCGCTCATTCCTTCTAGGTGGGACGTAGAAATTTACGATTATTGTAGGCTTGAAATTCGTATGTAGGTATAGGAGCCCACACCTTTCCGAGATGGGTACAAATTTCATGACATATTTCTGCATTCTTTTATTAATGAGGAAAGCGATCCCTGACCAACTATTGGAGGTAGTACCCGAGCAAAACATCTTATATTCATTGAAATTAGCCGTAATATCTCCAGGGTAGTGGGTTTCCTGGATGCCCAAAATGTCAATTTTCTCCGCCACTAACATCCTTAAAAGAACTGCCAGTTTATTCATCAATCCATTAATGTTAAGAGATGCTATTTGAAACTTGCCTGTAAATTTGTTCTCCATATCTCTGTGCCCATTTGGAAATCGAGTTGACATAGACATTTAAATAGAAGAATATTTAAAATTTGAAGGGAAATAAAATTCAACTTATTTAAAGGTTAAATGAAAGATTTGGAAAATGTAAATTACTATCATTTTATTTCTTTTATTTTATATATAAATGAAACCTATTTTGAGTGGATATCTTTTAGTTATTTAATAAAAAAAATTAATTTAATATTACATAAAATTTAAACTGGAAGATTTATAGGAATTAATTGAGTAATTCTCAAAATTCACAAATACAATTTGGAATTCTACATTTGTTACATTAAATTATCATTTAGCCAAATTTTTTTAAAATTATATTCAGCGTTTATATGAGCGTAGAGAAGGGGGGGGGGGGGGGTTAGGAGCATTTTGCGGCTAAATTATTTAAAGGGGTAGGGTCAAACATTATAGGAGGGGGTTGGTGTTAAGCATCTAATGGGAATTACCAATTATTTTTTTTGGATGAAATAGGCCATAATACCAGGGGCGTCGCTAGCCTTCACAATCTCAGGGGGGCTCAATTAAAAAATTTTTTATGGGGGAAGCTTCGCCAACCCCCCAATTTGGGGGGCTTCGGCCCGCTTTTGCCTGGCCTTCGGCCGGGTTTTATATATTATACTTTTTTAAAATTTGTTAACTCTGAACAATTATTCTGATTTTCATATTTTGTCATTTATTATATTATGCATACAAAATAAACTGGCATATATAAAATCACGTCATGCAAAAATATAATTGTTAGCAACTTATATTGACAAAAAGTTATCAAACTAGTATAATTCTCTGTAACCATTTTCAACAATGTTTTATAGAATGGACTAATAAGGAAAAATTTATAGGCCTAAACCAAATCAACAATTTTTGAAGGAGAGAGTATAAACGACCAATCCAAATCATAAAACTATATGGTGGTTAGAGCTTCCTCTTATATGACATGATGGAAGCTAGATAAGTAATCGAGTAAATTATTGTGAGATATTAAATTTCTAAAAGATTACCTTCCATTTTAAATGATATATAAACGACTACACAGTTGACCATTATTGTTTATCTAAAATATACAATTATATGCTCTCAGCCGTTATAGTAATAATCTTAAATTACATAGCAACACAAATAATAAATGCTGGCTAATTTGCAGTAATAGCCATGACACTCACGATGTAAACTAATATCAGAATTTATTTTGTTGGATAAATTGATAAAATAAAAACACTAAAAATCTTTGGAAAAATAATTATGCAAATATATTGAAGCATGGAGTTATTTACACAGCAATGCCATATTAGAAATGAAACATTCTCTAACTATAAAATAAAGACCAGAATGATATGATGAAACAATTAAGAATTTATATATTGTCGCACCACCTTGGTATATTATATGTTAAAATAATAGTAGTTTGTAATAATATCAAAAATATACTTGTATTAAAAATTTAACTCAAGACTGCTTTTCGAAAAAGAAAAAAATAGCTTTCCTAAAAACATGTAAAAAAAAGAGAAAAAAGATATCAAATTTATTACATCTATTGCAAGATGAATAATAAAATGTTTAATTTTTAAAATTATTTATA